AAAAGCACATGAACTACATATATTTCACCTGGAGCAAAAGAACAAGAGCAAAAGAACTTGAGAAATGGCTCAGATTTACCCATTATCAGCATGACAACTGCTGTAACACCCTAGGTGTTTGGCTTCCACATTTGCACTTGCATTTCATAAACATGAGCATCATTCATCCATTCATGAGCTTATATCACATGAAACATGTTTTTGAAACATTGCAACATATCGTTATGTTTCATGTGTGTTGTTTCTTTTATGAAATGAAAAGTGTGCAACACTTAAGTGCAACATGTGCCACTCACTTAGTGAAACAAAGTTAGTTAATACTATGCAACAAGATCATGAAACATGTGAAACATGACTATGAAACATTTGTAACATTTCAGGTGTTTTTCATTGTTTCAGTACATACCTTGCTTGATTCTTGTGTGACCAATGTATGGTGTGGATAAAAATTCTTGTAAGTAACTTAGTTACACCTAGGATGTTATTTGGAACATTGTTCATGTTGGTCACTTTGACTAATTAAGTTCCCAAGTCATGGTTTAACCAATTTTGACCCCTAAACCCTTTTGTTTGACTGTTTAAAAAGTGTATCTTAGGATGTTTGCATGTCTGAGCAACCTAAAACAAAGTTGTACAAAATTTTATATGGAACAAACATTGTTTAGAAGCCAAGTCATGAAAATGTGCACAACATGTTCAAAAAGGACCCACAAGTCAGCTTTGAAGGTGGATTCAACATTTGAAAAATTTTCTAAGTCCTTAATACAATTCTAGTTTGATCGAGCCAACTTTGGCTTGATACAACTCATGATCCATTGGGAATTAGGTCTTGGTCATTTAACATAAAGTGTAGCTGGTACTTAGGGCTACAACTTTCATCTTGACGGTTTTCGCTTTTGAGCAACGACTTAGCCGTTTCAACACGACGAAGTTTCACTGTCAGGCTCAGATTAGAACTCTGAATCGACGCTACAGTACCCGACCGCATTCAGAGCTTCACCGCCGCGTGGCGCCGCGCGTCGCCGTCGGGCGGCTCGGCCAAGCCATGTCGGGCTCCAGCGCGCCAGAACATGCCCGCACTCACCCGTGACGCTCCTAGACTCTCCATTCCTCACTTCGCCTTCTCCTTCGCTCACCACAGCAGCCGCAGCGGACCACGCCGTCGCCATTTGTTCCGCCGCGCTCGCGCAAGCTCGCCGCTGCACCACAGCCAGCAAGAGCCCGCCCAAAGCTCCGCTAGCACCCCACGAACCTCGTCGACATTCTCGCTGAGCCAGACGAAACTTAGGTGAGGGCCTTTGGCCATTTCCGACGCCGTCGCCATGACCGTTACTTCGCCGGAGTTGGAGCTCCACGCGGCCAACTACCCCAAGGCTTTCCCGTCCCCTTTTCTTTGCTTGGGTAGCATGGTAGTGCCCTCCTGAAGCTCGTACCGAGCTCGGTTGAGCCAGCCATGGTTTGCCGTCGCCGGCAGCTCGCGCCGGAGCTTTGCCGTGCCGCCATCACCAGCGACGAGCCCCCTCCGCTAGGTCTTAGGTCTTGCCACTTGCACAAATCGGTTCCCCTCGTCACGGAGAGCACGTAGGTGGCCGTGGTGTCGTCGGAGTCCTCGCCGTCGGTGAGCTAGACCACTGCCATGCCATCGAACGCTGCCTCCCCTGTTTCGTCTCACTAACAGTCGGGTCCAGCTGACGCCTGGGTCCCACGCGTCAGTGACTATTTGTTCAAAAGGATAGTTCAAATTTCCAGTTTTTGATGTTGTTTTGTAAAATGTATATCTCCAAATTGGTAGATCCAAATTAAGTACTTCCAATTTTGTTAGTATCATGGTGAAGTCTAGTATTTAAGAAAAATATATCGTGAGCACATTATGTAGAAATTTTGGATGAATTAAATAGGAACTTAAAAAGTGTTTTTGAATATATGCAAACTTGTTTAAATCATATCTTGAGTTTCTGTGATTCAAAAATTATGAAATTTTGTGGGTAAGCTAGTATTGCTTAGTAGAAGCTCTGGTTGAAATTTGAGAGTCATTGCATATGTAGTTTTTGAGTTATACATTTTCCTTTTATCATTGGGGGATACTTGTGTGAATTTTTGTAAATTATCTAGGAATCCTATGGCTATGAAACTTGGTAGGTAGTATCTTAGTATCTTAAGGATGCTAAGAAAAATATAAAATCTGTTGCTTGACACTTTTCACTAAGGTTTCCTAATTATGCCATTTTAAGCCATTATGCCTTATCATTTTTGTGTAGGTTGTTATACTTACTCAAATGGTGTGAAAGTTTTATGGTAGACTACTTAGGGCATGTAGTGTCTACTGTAATTTTTGTAGGTTTAATGGTGTAGTTTTCATATATGTTTACTATTTCCTCTAATTAATTAAATAAATTAAGAAAGGTATTAAAAGAAATGTTTTGGTGAGGAACACCCTACTTTATGGTGTTCTTGTGATATGTGTGATGAGGTAGTAAAGTTGGTTTTGTCCAATTATGTGTTTATATCATAAGTTAATAATTATTTGTTTGCATTATGTCCTTCTGGACAGATCTGGGGACTTTGGAAAGTTCCCCATGATATTTTGATTTGCTGTGAATGTGATGAATACAAAAGTTGTAGATAATTTATGTATCTAGCTCCTGTCAAAATTTGAGGGCATTTGGCCTAGTAGTTTAGAAACTACAGCTGTTTAAAGTTAGGTTCCAGTTTTGCTTACTCTCTGCCTTGTTAGGACAGAGTTCTGTTGATTTATGAATTCAACTTGGTAAAGTGTTGAATCATGTTTTAAGGTCTAAAAATTAATTGTAGACAATTTCATAAGCTTTCTAGATTGTCTTGTTGCATGTCATTTGGATTTATAAATCTCCAGTTATGGCTAGTTTACTGCACCGCTACATAGTCTTCATTTTGCTGAAATACAAATGCTTGAGTGTATGCTTGATGCAATGTTTCCGTTGTTTGTTAGGGGTTAGACTAACTTGAGAATATGCTTAGGTGCAGGTGCTAGGTCATTAACTAAAGATGATCAATTATACATTAGGTTGTATAAACTTGGTAAGTAAAGTGATTTGAATAGGGCTTAAGTTGGAATATTCAAACTACAGTGAACATGCGCATTCCCCGAGCATCCTTGACATTTGTTCATGTGCATCCATGATATTTATCTTGCGCATTCATGCAATAGGTGTGCCGGAGGGAGTGACGTTGCTGGAGTTCGAGGGAGCCAACCAGGAGGAGGAACCCAAGGTGCAGGAAGCCGACGAAGCAGTCGCCGCGGAGGAATTGCCCGAGTGCCCTGACCACCAGCCTTCCTCGTTCCTGAAAGGCAAGCCCCGGAGCATATGAAGCCTCCCATGTTTTTACAAATACATTGAGTATCTTTTATTGTTGATGATGCATTAAGTATAGGAATTGGTTGAAACCAATTGCTGCATTATATATATCCTTCCTTGTCCAGATATCACACTGGAATCCTATTTAAGTTCAGGAACGGGTTAAATGCTTAGCCATGCTTAGTGCGGTAGAAGTCAGGTGATTTCCTGTCACCTGCGAGCTTTAGGATGAGGTGGATCACGGTTGGCTATATTTGCTATCGTGGAAAAGAACCATGTGAATAATGAATTAAGACTGGGCGGGGTCTTGTGTAGGTTTGAACATAGTGACTCCGTCTGAGTTGTTTAAGGACCGATACGCTGTACGTCCTCATGTCATGTTGAACGTAGCCTAACACTTAGCTGGCCGGATAAGTCGTTCCGACCGCAAAGCCTAGTAGCTCGACTCAGGCCGGGGACGCGAGCAGTGGCGTGCATTCTGGAGGTAGTAAGGATGTGCGGAGAGCCATTGGCATAAGTCCAAGGCGGGTTAGAGTCCCAAACAACCTTGGCAGAGTGGTTCTCTGAGAATGTCGATCTGTTCGGACTCGCAACTCCTGAATCGTACCAAAGGTGACTTGTTTGCTACCCTGACAGGGGAAGCAGGGTTTGTGTTTAGGAATACCCCTCTAGCTGGATAGGAATCGATTCGAATCACCGTCTCTCCCGGATAGTGAGAACTTGACTGAGCAGCGGCAACGTAGATTCAATTAATTTAACGATATGGTTAAATGGATAATGATGATAAGGTGCCACAATGAATACCTGATATGGTTATTAATGTTTGCACCCTAATAAAATAATTGTTTAGTATAGGTGCTAATATAGATGACAGGTTAATGGCTAAAAAGTCACTGCTAGTTAGGCTAAGAGTTGATCATTATTACTTATGCTTTTCTAAAAAAAGAAAGTGTCAGCCAGATCCACTACATTAAGTTATGCATAATCCTTGGTGTCATTTATTTTGGTTTTCGACGGGTAAGTCTAGCTGAGTACATTCCCGTACTCAGGGTTTATTCCCTCTTATTGCATATGACCTTTTATATCAGGGATTCTGTAAGTATTGTCTCCACCCGGCGGGTGACGAAGACTAGATCATGGGCATGATCTCTGTTCTCTTATCTGAATGCTTTTGCGGGATGTGATCAGCAAACCAGTATGTGTATTTGAACTCGGGTGTGTAAGTTAAACTATTTGCTTCCGCATGTTTTACAAGACTGGTTTTGTAAAAACGATGACTCTGTGATGATGTAATCTATTTGCGAACGTCTGCGAAATGTTGTAACGTACGATATGTTATGTTGAATTACTGTGATCTTGGTTGTATGCAAGTTGGTTTGAAATCCTTCGAGATTTCAGTTGACTACCGGGTTTATATGGGCTCAAGTTCGAGAATTTGATTGTTTCGGCGATTGTTTTTGTACTTGTGCTCTTATAAATTGGTCGATTCTGTGACAACTGCAACTTAATTTCACCTAGAACTTAATTTAATTCTCTCTCTCTAATGGGAATTGAACTGGTCACAGAACTGGTTGCTTGTACTGGTACAAGCCATCCTAGTTAAGCAGCAAATAGAACAAAATATCCCAAGTACCAGCTCATAAGATGCTAAAGTGTAGAAGTTCTCTAATGGAAACTTGATTCATCAGAGCCACTCAAGAGTAGTACAAAACAAAAGTCACAATGCATAGTTAGGGAAGGGGAGAGCAGCGTGGCACGAAACTGCAACATAGAAGGTGGTAATTAGATTACTACAAGTATGATGGCTGCAATCACTAATATGTATATCACAGAAAAAAGAGCAAACCTGTTCAACGTTAGTAAAAGTTGCCTCCTCTGGAATCTCAGAAATTCTAGATGACAATAGGTGACGAGAACGTTCACGTGTGTTGTACAATTTATCCCTGACATCACCAAGTATGACACGATATGGTTCATTTGGAGGAACTTGCTTCCAGAATTCTACGAGCAACAAAGCAACAACGCTCAATTAGTAATATAAACCTTTGAACAAATGCAGTAAGCCTCTTTGCAGGAAAAAATGTAATAAATCATCCACTCTACAAGAGAATGTAGGGTGTAGCATCCAAGTTGCTGATTAGGGCTCTGTTTGGTATTGTGGTGGTGACTCTAATAAGACACTTAGTTCTAATTTTGGATGTTGCTAGTTTGAAAATCTATTTGAATCTGTAACAGTAAAAATCCTGCAGATTAGACTCCAAGCACAGAGCCTCATAACACAAGCACACCCTAAAAGGAGTAACCAAACTGAGGGCACAAATATTGAGATTATACTAGTCAACATAGTGATGCATCCATGTTAGGAGTAGGACATAAAAAATATATTCAAGTCTATTGAAGAACTATAGTACAATAGATTAATGATTCAAATGAAAGAGGTTTGCAGCGTCCAGAACATATTTCGAAGCTTCTCTCACCTAGCTTTGCTACGTAGGATGTATTAAATTGAAATTATTTTCTACAGACTCAAATTTAGCTGCTTTGACCTAACATATGCAGTTTCTAAAATATCTGATGAGTTTAAGCTTGACTGTGTATCCAAACCATATATAAATTATAAATGGCAATTAGCATGCACACTTTTCTCGAATTAGTATGCATGCTTTTTGTAGTGCATATGCACTAATGCATATTAAGTGCAAGTAGAGTGTTCGGGAATTCAAAAGGTATACAGAACCAAGATGTGGTTAGCCATTATACATAATCCTACGGTGAACCATAGACAATAAGAATAAAAATACAAAAATGGCATACTTAAAAGGTTATTATCCACACAGGCACAGTAATGGCATCCTTCAAAGTTAATTGTTTGTACAGTTTTCATATCAGAACTCTGATTTAAGTGAATAACTTCACATGGCCAAAGCAGAAAAAAGCAAGAATAATAAGCAAATCAATAGATATGCAGTTTAATCCAAATTCCCTTGTTAGATTACAACTCTGTTACCTATATAGTGCTTTGCAGCTTTTCTTGGAGAGCGATGTAGTTCATCTGCACGGATCCGAATCCGGGAGAGGGAGGGACGGCGTCGGGGAAGAAGGCCAGGGAGGGGCGGCGCCGGGAAAGAAGAAGGCCGGGGAGGGGCGGCGCCGGGGACCACCACCACCATGTCAGCACCACGAAGCCTGCCGCTACGCCGCACGTCGCCCGCCGCCCGCCACCACTAGAGCCTAGATCCGGCCGCCACCGGCCTCCACCGGCCAGATCCGGGAGAGGGAGGGGCGGCGCCGGGGACCACCACCACCACGCCAGCACCACGATGCCCACCGCCACGCCGCCCGCCACCACCAGAGCCCAGATCCGGCCGCCACCGGCCTCCACCGGCTGGATCCAGGAGAGGGAGGGGCGGCGCCGGGGAAGAAGAAGACCGGGGAGGGGCGGCGCCAGAGAAGAAGGGGAGGGGCGGCGGCAGGGAGGGGAGGGGCGCTGAGGGCCGGGTGCCGGGGAAGAAGAAGAGAGGGGGCGCTGGGGTCTGGGTGCGGAGGAAGAAGAAGGGAGGGGGAGGGGGCGCTGGGGTTTGGGTGCGGGACGGGTGCGGAGGAAGACATGACTTTCTTTGTTTTTTTATTTATTTTTTCTATGCGTGCATAATTTTTTTTGTGTGTTTTTAAAGAACCGACAGAATAAATTGTATTTTTCTGTGAGAGCTTATTTTTTCGTGTGTGTATTGTCACGCACAGAAAAATCATATAATTATTCTGTGGGTTTTCGTATTTTTCTGTCGGGATATTTTAAAACCGACAGAATAATCGTAATTTTTCTTTGCGTACCGAAAAAAACACATAGAAAAATTCATCACCCACATAAATATTCGAGTTTCCTATAAGGTTTGCTCAGCACCACCGTCGCCATCGTCGTTCTTCTGCTGCTTCTGTTATCAACGGTGGTGCCTCTCCATCCATGGTCACTACTTGTCTGGGCAACTGTCCTCGGCTGATCTGGTCGATCATGGTGTTGCGGTGAATTATGTTGCGCTCGTCGGCGCACCATATCTATAATAGTTTGTAGCCTTGCCCTCTTTGCAGGAGGCACCCGTGGCTTCCATGTCGGCATGGGAGTCGTCCTGAACCGCCATGTTGACATCACCATTGTCTGCCATCTAGTCATCGCGTATCTCTCTTTCCAGCTCATCAATGCCATGTCCTCGTCGGTGAAGTACAGTGGTTCCTTGGTGGTTAAGATCGGTGGTGGTCTGAATTCGACAGGTTGCTCAAGACGGGAGTTCAGAGATCTGATGGACTCGTACTTGGCCTTCCAGAGCACGGCGTCGTGGTCGGCGACGAGCCGTCTCAGCTCTTTGCTAGCGCACTCCACCCTCGCGACGTCCTCAGCGACGTGGAGCCTACACAGGATCGTCATCTGTAGGTCGACGGGAAGGCACGCGAAGCTGGGCAACACCGGCACGCCGCTGTGAAGGCAGATGGAAAGAAAGAGGCGGCGGCACAGCTGATCTGCGAAAAGCTTCCAGAGCCACGGCGCGCCGCCATTGGCATCATCCGGCGACGACGACGACGACGACGTCGTCAGCGCACGAGCCGCGTCGTCCATGCCGCCCGAGATCACGGGCGCGAGAGCCGCCAGCGGCAGCCGCTCCCTGCGCGCGTTCCGCTGGCGGCCGTTGCAGTCGACGTAGGCGTCCACCGCGATCTTGCCGCCGCCGCAGCATCCCCGACGGCGCCCCCGCCGTGAGATGCACAACACGGCGGCGTCCGTGTCCTCGCGGTGGGCCAGCTGCGGCACCGCGTAGCGGCGGGATACAGACCAGGGCGTCGTCTCTGGCGCGTCGCACGGCAGGAAGCCAGGAGAGGAAAGCGGCGTCGGCCACGATGCACAGGCGGCCGAAGAGGTCCTCGGTGTCCCAGTGGGCGCCGTCGGTGCCCTTGTTGAGGGGCCACAACTTCTTGGCGGCTGCCATTGCCGTTGGTACAGATGCGTTATTTGGTGGTCACGATCCACTTCGATACAGCGTCGGCAGATTATATTGTACATACATATAGTAAAATAAAATATTGTTGAGGGTTTCAGCAGAATAAATAAGAGAAAACAAACTTGGCCCCGCTCGTTCTCGTTGTGGACTCTCGGTCGCATGCATTAATCGCCATATTAAAGATTTGCTAGAAGCTCCCATTCTGACTACATACGTACTCCGAATGTGCGGTAGGGCGAGCATGGGTCCCCTGTGCTGGATAATTTTTCATTGTAGCAGCATTCGCCGATGTGGCTGCATGCACGTACGCTGTTGCACATATGGTCTTGACGACCCTCCACTGGCGTTTCTACATAGTCCGGATGGTAAATATAATAGATAATGAGAGTTTCTATACTACCAAAGAAACACCAAAATAAGTCCACAAAGATATAAACAATTTCAAGCTAGGCACCATAGAACATGATTTTAGTAAACATTTGAAACTAGTTTCATAATTTGCGAGCCAAAATAAAGTTTCTATGAATTTTCTAAGGTTAAACCAAATTTTAGGATTTTTAATTGCATTATTTTCCATGTAAAATATTTAGGAAAATTTTTGAAAGAATTATTTTTTATGATTATTTGGATATTTGTTTTAAAAAAATATTTCAAGTCTGATTACCTCTTTGATCTTTCACCTGGTCTGATTTATTCTCTAGCAAAACCACTCAAGGTGCAAAAATAAACAGTTTTAAAAGTTGAGGGAGTAAAAAAAACTAGTTCGGTATTTTAGGGAGGAAAACCGGATGACCACGGTAGCTGAGGAAAGTAAAATATGTCGAAAAACATACGGACTCTATCCTAAAAGAAAAGTAGGAGAAATTCTAATCCTAATCTATTTGTATGTGGGCTCTTACCAAACTCTTAGGTCTTAGCAGGACTATATATGCGTGGGAGCTTTATGTTGTAATCACCAATATTGAGAGGAATAAAAAATAGTCTCCCTATCTCTTATGTCTATGTGTTCTACTTTTATCTACTATGTTGATCCCGATAGACGGAGAGAGAAAGGTTCTAACCGCTGGCAACATATTTTATAATACGTTATCAGCACGACAAGCTCTTCGTCGACATTGCCGTTGAAGCTGCCGCCGATCTTCGGCACCGACGCTCATGCCGACGTCCCTGCCGCGACTACTTCAACGACATCTACATCTAACGTTTTTAGCGGAACAGATCTGCTATCTCTACCTGCATCTAATCTGCACTGCATCGAGATGCACCGTTATTGTCAAGTAGGCAGTTCTACGACAATGCCAAACGCCCTACGCGGTATATATCTACTAACCACTACCCTACGTGCTATGTGATGGGCTATTGTTTTGCCCTAATTATTCTCTACACATGTAGTAAATAATTATTTGTGCTTGTACATGTAGTACATATGCATCTAATATGTACATGCACATTACTTGTGTACAATCCATACGGGCTTGCATCCCATCAGAACTCGTAGTGCCAGCCTGCATTAGTAGAGAATAAACTTTCGGTTGAAGACTTTAGTCTCGGCTATTTTTCAGCCCGGGACTAAAGAAAGTATTAGTCCTGGTTGGAGCTACCAACCGAAACTAAAGTCCCCTGCCCAACGGCTAGAGGCGTAGCTTTTGCAGGAGGGGAGTTGGAGGGGACCTTTAGTCTTGGTTGGTGGCTCAAACCGGGACTAAAGGTCACCCTACAGTCCCGGTTGGAGCTACCAGCACTGACTAAACATTTAATCCCGGTTGGAGGCTCTAACCGGGACTAGAATTGTACCTGTAGTCCAGGTTTATACCAGAAACCGGAACTACATATCCCGGGCTATATATTTTCTTCTTCCTCCCCCAGCCCGAGCCATATCAAGCTCTCTGCCTGCTCTCTGTTTTTGCTCATGGAAGTAGTTCATGCTTGCGGGATTGGTGAAGACTTCATTTCTCCATCCATTCTTCGGTTCTAAAGGTTACCAACTTCATCCTCCCATGTTTCGTCACTAGCATGGCTCATTTCTTGGTCTAGAAATAGAGAAATTTGTGGTTTTTTAGATTGGGAATGATGGTGGATTTTTTTTATTTATATACTATTTGAGCTCGAAATCACTTGATAGTTTGAATATGAAGATGAAGGAAGCTTATAGTAGTTCATCAAAACTAGTATGCACCTTTCATTGCCTCATTTCATGGTCTAGAAATAGAGAAATAAAATGTTTTTTAGTATATAGCTCATCTAATTTCATGGTTCACAAAATGAGAAATTTATAGTAGTTGATGAAAATGAGTATAGAGAGTCGTAGATGGCGACTTCTTCTGGGTCCTCGGCCTCGCATGGGGTCCCTAAGCGACTGAGGCTAGACTTCCCTCTCATTGTGTGTGGCAAGTGTGGGCAGAAGACTATGAGGGAGTACAGGGTGAAGAAGAAGGGTCCCAACCAAGGGCGCATCTTCTATACATGTCTGGATCACGAAGTGAGTAATTTTTTTGTCATGTTTTGTTATGTTTTGTAGACATTTTTTGTGATGATTTTGATTAAAGTTCTTGATTTGTTGTTGTAATTTCAGTGGAATGGCATTGGATCATGTGACGGTTGGTACTGAGAGGAAGAGTATGTTGAGCACGTCCAAAAATCTCTTATAAAGGCGACTGAGGTGACTGATGAGAGTGCACCTTTGTATGATGAGGCCGTGAACCAGCAGAAGAATGATCTGTTTATTTTAGATGGAATTGGTCTCGAAATCCTTATTCTACTAAAGTGCATTTTAGGTTTAGTTTGTTTAGTGCTATTTGAGATTGTCTATAATGTATCATGACTTTAATAAATTAATTTTCGAGAGTACGTGAAACAACTATGTGGTATAGGATATTAATTAATCTTGTTGATTGATGGATATTTTGGATCTTTTAATTAACTACTAATCATGCATGTTGTATAATTTGGGTTATTACAAGTTTTTGATGTGGTGTATGTCATGTAATGCAAATGAACCGGCAATGGATGTACAACACGGGCTGCTACTCCTCAGAGTTCATTAGGGGCTTGCATGAATTCATAAATGTGGCCAAGGCAAACACGCGGAATGGTTTCATGTGCTGCCCATGTGTTCTATGTAAGAATGAGAAGGATTATTCTTGCTCAAGGATCCTACACGAACACATGTTTACGTCGGGTTTCATGCCAAACTATATTTGTTGGACTAAGCATGGAGAAAGAGGTGTTATAATGGAAGAAAATGAAGAAGAAGAAGAAGAAGGGTTTCATGACAACACTATTATTCGTGGTTTTGCTGAATACGGTGCCTTTGATGATACTGCAATGGGGGAAGCTGAAGAAGAGGTAGCGGCAGAAGATGAGCCCACTGATGATCTTGGTCAGGCCATCTGTGATGCACAGAGAGAATGCGAAAGTGACAAGGAGAAGATCAAGTTTGAGCGCATGCTAGAGGATCACAAGAAATTGCTATACCCGACTTGCAAAGAGAGGCAAAAAAAGTTGGATACCACACTTGAATTGCTGTAATGGAGGGCAAATAATGGTGTATCCAACAAGGGGTCTGGGGAGTTACTAACTATCGCAAAGAAGATGCTTCCGCAGGCAAACGAATTGCCTGCCACTACATACGTAGCAAAACAGGCCGTCTGCCCTCTGGGATTAGAAATCCAAAAGATACATGCATGTCCTAATGACTGCATCCTCTAACACGGCGAGTACGAGAATTTGGATGCATGCCCAGTATGCCATGTATCGCGGTATAAGATCAGGTGAGATGACCCTGGTGATGTTGGGGGTGATGTTGAATGTCCTACGAAGAGAATCCCTACCAAGGTGATGTGGTATGCTCCTATAATATCACGCTTGAAACATTTGTTCAGAAACAAAGAGCATGCAAAGTTGCTGCGATGGCACAAAGAAGATCGTAAGGTAGACGATATGTTGATACACCCCGCTGATGGGTCCTAGTGGAGAGCAATCGATAGAGAATTCCTAAAGTTTGCAGATGACGCAAGAAACTTAAGGTTTGCTTTAAGTATGGATGGCATGAATCCTTTTGGGGAGCAGAGTTGCAGTCATAGCACTTGGCCTGTTACTCTATGTATCTACAACCTTCCTCCATGGCTGTGCATGAAGCGAAAGTTCATAATGATGCCAGTGCTCATCCAAGGCCCGAAGCAACCTAGAAACGACATTGATGTGTACCTAAGGCCATTAGTTGAGGAACTTCTACTTTTATGGAGCAGCACAGGTGTGGGATCAGTACAAACATTAACACTTTGACCTACGAGCAATGTTGTTCGTAACAATCAATGATTGGCCTGCTCTTAGTAATCTTTCAGGACAGTCAAACAAGGGATATAATGCATATGCATGCATTGTTTTCATGACATGGGAGGTATATTTTTGAAAAAATGTCAAAAGGTCATGTACATGGGCTATCGTCGATTTCATCCATTGAATCACGCCCTAAGAAAGAAAGGCAAGCATTTTAAAGGTAAGGCAGAGCGCCAAACAAAGCCTGACAGCCGTAGTGGTGAGGATGTATTCAATATGGTCAAGGATGTACAAGTAGTCTTTGGGAAGGGAACTGGCAGCCAACCTATTCTAAATGATGCTAACGGACACGCACCCATGTGGAAGAAGAAGTCCATATTTTGGGAGCTACCCTACTGGCAAGTCCTAGAGGTCCACAGCACGATCGACGTGATGCACCTGATGAAGAATCTTTGTGTGAACCTGCTAGGTTTCATGGGTGTGTATGGTAAGTCTAAGGACACATTGGAAGCAAGACAGGACCTACAGTGTATGAAAGAACGAGAGAACCTGCATCTAGAGAAGGTAGATGATGGACGCCAGTACTTAAGTCCTGCCAGCTACACTCTTAGCAAAGAAGAGAAGGAAAGCATGTTTGAATGCCTAAATAGCATCAAGGTCCCATCTGGCTTCTCCTCGAATGTAAAGGAAATAATAAATGTGACAGAGAA